AATCGTATGTACCGCCGCGAACAGCGTCGGAGAACGTCGCGCGAAAGGCAATGATGCCAGAGCTAGGCGCACGTGTCTCTAATGATGCTATTCTTAGGGAGTAGTACTGACATATGATTGAGTAAGCGACTCCGCGTTAAAAATGAGTGTATGTATAACGACACGTGACGATCGTTCGGCGAAGATCGCGTGGGAACTCGTCCGGGTGACGGAATCTCGATCGCATTATGATAAAATCAGGCCCGAGTTTGGCGAAACATCACTTCCTTCTTAGTCGAGATTAGATAGTGCTTGTGTCCCGATCGTGCACATGCACGACGCACCCTGCACTTGCCCACAGTACGTATCCTGCCGGTTGTCCTGCAACTCCTTGAACCAATTCAACTCTTTTCTTGTTTGTTTTCCTCGAAAATCGCGTGTCATTCTATCGTAATGTTCGTGCGGATTGCGTTGTACTACTTGACTTCTGTGCGAGATAAGTGCATCCTCTCGTGGCTTCAACGATGACTTTGTATAGAATTAATATCAGTGCTAAAATATCAGCAAGTACGATCGAATTATTCAAAATTTTCGAATGGATGAAATTGAAAAATATTAATGGTAAATAAAAAACTAGTGATATCGAAAGCACAAAGGTATTAAAATAAAATAGCCGAAGTCGAAGTGTCAAAGTGCATCCGAATTTGGATGCACTTCGTCTTAGAACTATTTGCATCGGTTTGACGGTACGGAAGTCTCTTTCAGCCGCAATTCATTCGTTCGCATATTTATGCAACGCGACGGATGAAAATGCGAATCGGAAAAAAAATTGAAGTCGTCGTTCTTATTAGTATGGTTTAAAATCCGGGCACGAGGAAGTAGCCTCGTTTTGACATATTATTATTAGACCGACGATCGGTGACGTGGTTGGTCGTTCGAAGAGAACTTGTTGGTTGAATACATTTGCTCGTTTCGCGTCGATACATATTGGATTATTCATTTTACGCGTTCGTTGGAAAATTGAGTAGCTGGAATACGAAAGCGCGAACACGTAAGAAGCATTTGACAATATTGTTACGTTGTTCTCAGCACATTGATATCATTAAAAGAAACAACTTATTTTTCTTTACCTCCTGTCTGGCACGAGCGTCTTGGAGCAACTTTATTTTGCACAATGATCCGCCGTCTAAATATTCGCGATGGAATATTTCACTGCGACAAATCCTTTATTCGGAAACCGATAGTCATATGTCAACAGGTTATGTGTTTAGCAACGGTATGACTTGCGCGCGCGCGAAGTTAATCGAATCTGACATAATTTGGTACAAATTATACAATCCGCAGACGTAACATTCCGCGTGAGTTTGCGAAAAGATCGTTTTTTTATTGCTGTATTATTAATACAACAAACATTCGCCTGTTCAAACACGGTTTCGAGTAGCAGGTCTATCGCCTCATGTAAATAACGCTAACAAAATATTTAGTCTGCGATAAAATAGCGATTACTTCATCAAGCGTGATCCTTGCTCCAGAAAATTACTTAACGTTGCTATGGGAGTCGTTAGGCAAATATTATTGATAACACTGTAGCCAAATTCTCATTTAGAGAATATATCAATTACTTTTCTAAAAAGAAAATCGAAGTTTCCTTCGAGCAATAATAATCATTGTAACAACGTGTTCCTGGCTTTCTACTTCTGGTTTGTTGAAAAGCAGATAATTAATTTAGCAATTCTCGCACCCTGGAGATAGACAAAGCCTCTCGAACGGGATTGGCCGCCAGCTAATCATGGCAACGAGTTTACATGGTGACGAGTGACTGGTATCGTGGATAAAGATGCTTTCGAAACAGTCCTCGTCAAGGCAGATCGATAGAAAAGGATCGCGTCGGTCGAGAGAGGTGAATATATTGGGTGTCAACAAAGTAGACGCTCTCAAACTTGTTTTTTTTTCGAGTTAGGTCACAACTTACTACTGTCTCGATTCGGCAGGCGCGACAGCAATTTAAAATGATCGGATCGATCGAGTAGAAGGTGGGCAAAAATTACTATTTTATAAATAGACCGCGGATCTTTATGCATTTATGTAAATTAAAAAGATCCAAATTTTTACTTTCTTTTTACAATGAGTAATCTTTTTTTAATTTTAATAAAATAAAATTTGTCATCCAGATCAGCACTCTACTTATGATTATTTAACAAACAATATCTTGCTGTCTCCATGACAAAGTAAAAATAAATGCAGCTACCGGAACATAAAGGTCTACATTCGAGCAGATGTAGAATCTACACAGCAAACTTGGAGATAACAAAGTAGATAAAAAAAAATTGATAGTGACATTGAGAACTGCGAGATAAAAAGTTAATTGTATCATAGCTAAGTTACAAAATTGTAGCATCGTCGTCTGTGAAATGATATATCATCGTCCACGAAGGAGAAAAAAAAGGACGTTTTTCCAATCAAACTTATTAATTAGTCGACGAGTCTCATCGTTGACTCGTTACGATCCATTTCTTTTCTCGTTCGCGGCATCGGGATTACGTAATTGCCGCGTGCACTCTAAAAAATTGATCGCGCGCTGGTAAGAGAATTAATCTGAATTAACAGGAACGATCGGGCGTCGTGTTCGGAATTATGCAACGCCGTTCCGTCGCATCTATGGTCAACGAAATCGTCGAATCGACGCTTGTTAATTGTCCGGCCAGTTAATTCCGACGAGTTAAGACCGTGCGGCTCGGGCGAGAAACGTTTTCCGGTTGTAATTAAACACGCCGCGTCGTGCCAAAGAGTATCATACATACGGGTGTCGTTATCCTTTCTTGGAAACATGACGTCAAATGAATGATAAAAATTATCTAGCCATTGATAGTTTCATCGAGTGCACGAACCTTAATTTGTATTCTACTTGCATTGCACGTACGATCTAAAAAAGATAGACAGTGACACGTGTAATTTTCTAGATCCTAACAGTGCTACGAGTCAGAGTGAAATACGTTAATCATAGTACACGGTTTACAAGTGTTTAAGATACGCTATATCTTAAGAAAGTTCACACAATCACAGGAAGTCCTTGTTATATAAGAAACTAGAAGATAGAACTACGAGATAGAGAAGCCTCCATTATGGTCAGCCTGGATTATATAACAGGGGCAATTTACTCCAGAGAGTATTGATTTGCAGTAACATTCTCGGGTCCTCAATGAATCCCGCAACCTATGGAACAGGTTTCCCTTTCGGAAGTACGATAGACCCGGGTAAAATATCTGGTGGGTAGCCTGCGATAGAGACAGAAACTTTAGAGATTGTCACAAGTAGCAGGTAGCCTGCCTAGATTTTCCCATCCGGTGGAAGAGGTTTTCTTATCGATGATGTAATCAAATTGTACAAAACCCGCCGCGAAACAGGGATACACACGAGTGTTGTGTTCCAAATATCTGTTTTGTCCGCGTTTCTCTTGTATTATGCAAGAGCTTTAGTTTGTTTCCTTGAGAATCTTTCGCTTTGGGAATGGAAGCTCTCAAGCTCTTTTGCAAATACAATACTCTCCTATTGTAACTAAGTTGTAATCTAGTGCTAAACTAAGTTCCCGATTGCATTGAATTCTAAAAATATTCCAGAGGTATGATAGCAATGGTTTTCAAAATTTCACTTCGAATTGAAGATGCATAATCAAGCAGTAAGTCGAAACGGTACGCAATCGCGAGGCGGCACACCGGATCCTCTTATCGCAGCGTGTTATTATGACGGCTTGTTAAGACTGTCTGCAGCGTGTTCAGTGGTCGTTCCGAGGAGGATCCACTGTCCGCGGTCATCGGTCGATTTAAGTTGCATCAACTTGTCGTAATAAATCGCCAGCTGCCATAAATCTACCCGCAATTAGCAGGGGCAGACGTAAACACCGCGCGTGCTCGATAAACTGGCTCGTCCGTTTCCGTGATGTCACCGTTACGAAAGCTGGTCGCCTCGGCGTCAGAAGTCTGACATTGCGGACATTCGGTAGAGGCTGGTGTTCGTCGCCGATTCGTGAATCAGCTCACCGCGATATAATGTAACAGAATCGACACGAAGGGACGTGATATCGTGGTGCTGTGCGTAACGATGCGATGCCCAGCGAGACTTCCGCGACAGCCTTGAGCCTCTGCTGACGTTGAAAAAATCATACATATGCATAGCTCCGCGGGAAAAATGGTAAATCATCTTGTCGGGGTTGTCTTCCCGTCGGATCACGTGCTACTTGGATTATTATATTATTTTCCGATGTCCTTAAAACTTTTGCGATGGACGTGCGATCGGAAGTCCTGAAATTGTTTTACAGTTGTATAACGCATTAGAAAAATTCATACGTATTGTTAGAGCACCATTGTTTGAATTTTCTGTGATCAGAGATATGCTTTCTTAGATCCAGCAAGTACCGGATAGATTAGCTAATTCCTTAAGTTTCCTGTTCGACTGCGGAGTTTATTAAGCTGTCGTTTGCTACAAGGCAACATAGTACACGCATTCCCATAAAAATTTCAGAAATTTACGATAAGCACAAAAGATTGCAAAGCGAAGCTCCTAGAGAACTGTTCACAGATTTTCTAGTCAACACGTATTTCCTCATTTTTATCACTTACGTCAACTACCGGGAAACCGGCAAGAGAAATCATCGACGTACACTTTACGTCTTTATGGCCCGAGGTGTAGATTCTGTAGCCCAGAATACACACACGCGTACAATGTCAGCAAATGATTCCCGCGAATATTTGGAGACTATTTCTACTTATCTTCATCTAGATTCCGTTCGTTCTCTATATAAATTAGAACACAGTTAGTCGTTCTCTTCGACAGCCAGCGGTGCATAAAATTACCGTCATGATCGAATCATCATTGTCTAGGTTCCTTCTTTTCTAATTGCTCAATATACAACAAACGCTCTATCCCAGGTTCTCGAAGAACTCTTCGTGGTCAAACGAGAGCACAGTTGTTTTCAGTCGTTGCTGCCAGTGGCCTCGAATAAAGACATCCGTTTTCCATTGCAGTGTCGAGCGCGAGGCGTCGAAGAACATCGAGGAGAACGAGCGCGAGTGCTTCAAGGATGCGATCGTGTCGAGTAGAAGTCTCAACAAGGGCTTCGTGGAGAAGACCAAGCTCAAGAACGCGATACCGGAGGTAGAGATCTTGACGATTCGGATCGATCGGTCCGATCATCGACTCTGGACCCATTTTCTAACCGATTCTCTGTCTAGATCGCCGCCTGCATCATCGCCGCGTCTTTCCACATACCGGTCGGCCTGTGCATGGCCTATTCCGCCATTCTGATTCCTCACCTGGAGGTCGAGGACGCGGAACTGCACGCCACTCAAGAACAAACTTCCTGGATAGGTAAACAACTTCCGCCATTCAACCCTCAATGACGATAGATCGAGTCAAGATCCAAGCGTAGTCATATCTGGCGCAGCGAAGGCGATAATCGTCCCGTTTCATGACCGCTCAATGATTTCATTGTGATCCCACGGTGGGAGAAGACAGACACAATGTAACAGTTAGATAACAGCTGATCGGACGAGTATGTTAATTCAATAACCAGTTTGCACTAGAGATAGGACTATTTTTCTTTTCGTGACTCGGTGCAGTACGTCATCTTCGGATAGACGATAGAGTCTCTATCTTGAGGCTAATCGGGACAAGTGTCTTCATCGATGCACATGATTCGTCTCGTCGCTACACTCGCCGTTCTAACGATGCAGAGGCTCCAGTTACGATAGGAGTTGCAGGATATTCAGAAATCCTATTCTAACAGCGGTTCTCTAATCAATGTTCCAGCCAGCGTGGTGGTAGTATCCGCCCCAATCGGCTCCATGCTAGGCGGTTTCCTCATGGAGATATTTGGAAGACTGAGAACCCTGCAACTGGGTGCTATCCCTTGCGTTGCGGGCTGGATCCTCATCGCCCTTTCGACCAATTTTCCCATGCTGCTGTGCGGTCGCCTGCTGTCTGGCTTGGCCACCGCTCTGTCAACTTCACCGGCCATCGTCTACATCACCGAGGTCGCGCGGCCAGAGCTTAGAGGATCAATGATATCCTTCGGCCCGACCTTGGCCTCCTTCGGCATGGTCCTCTCCTACTTGAAAGGTGCTTACATGCACTGGCGAGTGGTAGCTTGGATCAGCATCATCTATGCTATCGTACCCATCCTTTTAGTACAATTGTTTGTCCCTGAGTCGCCGGTGTGGCTCGTCTCGAAAGGACGCCTCGAAGAAGCGAAGAAATCGGTGGAATGGTAAGCATCGTCCCTTGAGTCCTTCGCTCTTCCAGAAACTATAGATTTACTTTTGACCATACTTGGGAGTTTCGCCCACTTTATCTCAGCGTATCCTAATTGATAGAGGCATTGTTGTTGCCGTTCCCCATAGGCTGTACAGGTACGAGACCAAACAGGGTCAGAAGGATGCGGCGCAAGCGCAGTACTTGACCATAGTGAAGGAGAACGAGATCAAGATGAGCGAGCAGAGGAAGAGCAAGCACGGTAGCGCGTTCCACAAGATGCGAGGATTCCTGAAACCAACGGGCTGGAAACCGATGACCATCCTCTTCTTGTTCTTCTCCTTCCAGCAATTCTCCGGCATCTACATCACTCTCTTCTACGCCGTCACGTGGTTCCAAGTAAGCCAGCGTTATCAGCAATATCGAATCGTGATCCTCTGTTAGCTTGAGCACCAGTCTCGCAACGATTATCTTAATTCCAGGAAGTCGGCTCAGGTGTGGACCCATACATAGCTTCGATTCTAGTCGGCGTGACTCGTTTCTTGTGCTCGATGGTGAACACTTGGCTTCTAAGACGATACAAGCGGCGGCCGTTGTGTATCATCTCGGCCTTGGGCATGACTATCTGCATGGGCGTTTCCGGCTATTTCACTCTGATGATTAGAAACGGCGACCGTTCTGGCTATTGGGTATATATTTAGGATGAATCACCGAGTACCAGCGGAATCGCTGCTACACATCGCTGTTTCTTCAGGTTCCTGTGTTCTGTCTGCTGATGTACGTGTGCACCTCGATGGTGGGCATGCTGACCATACCTTGGACCATGACTGCAGAACTGTTCCCCACCGAGATCCGAGGCATTGCTCATTCCATCAGCTATTCGATAGCCAACTTGCTGATGTTCGCTGCTCTCCAAAGTTACAGGAGCTTGCAGGACTTCCTGGGTGGTATGTAGAATACGAGCCCTGAAATCGCTTAGAGTAACAGTTAGGCAATGGTAGCTTGCGCAAACAGACTCGCTTAGAGAAATACTTCTTTGTTACTCCCAAAATTCTGTTTCTCGCGTGGACGATCCACCGAATGATCGCACTTGACCGTCGCAATTCATGTGAAATTCCTGTTCGAAAGGATCCTATGCGGTGCAATGGTTCTTCGCCGGCGTGTCCATCGGTGCAGCCGTGTTCGTCTGGATCCTCCTGCCGGAGACTCACGGCAAGAAGCTCTCCGAGATCGAGGAGTACTTCCACAACAACTTCCTGGCGATGGGGGCAGAGGCTAAAGCAAAGAAGGCTAAACAAAAGCGGAGACAGGGGAAGCTGCACGTGAAATCGTCGGTCACGGAGCCGTTGAACCCCGCCAAATCAAAAGGTCCGCAGAACGTATAAAGAAAGGTCTTGAATCGCACGGGCTGGGACCGCGACGAGCAATTCCTGTATCCGTGATTTAGTAATCGTAAGTAACAACTGGTTCGTTCGACACGTTGCACAGGGATTGCGTTCTTTAGGTAGTCTCTGGAGAACGAAAGAGAGTTTTATAAGCAACGCGCACCGATCACCTCTGGTATCTTTAACTAACGTCGATGGTAGTCGTATGGAGTCGTGGATAGTGTTCGGAGAACGTGTTTTTTTTTTACGAAGCTGCGTAATTTCGTACTTAAGCTTCCGCTTGCGCTTCAGTTATCGTTTTGGCATTGATCGTCTTGTCAAGTTCGAGGGAGATTCTTGAGAATGAAACGGCGATGATGTTTTCATTGTACGACAACGAAGAACCAGGCGAGATGATCGATGATGCAGTGTGATGGATTTTGTTCTGCCAGAAAGTGAATGAGAGGGGAAAGCCGAGAATGACTCTACACGCGACACACAAAACAGTATTACATGTTGATCTGATACAGTCTTCCGTGCAATTGTCCACGGATGGCCGTAGAAGAGACGGATGAAGATTCTTCGTGCACAACGTTGGCTACGCGACGCCTAAGTCACACCTTAAGCGTCGTCTCTATGGTGATTCGTCGTTCGCCGTTTATCAGGCGGACAGAGCATTCCTTCCTTGGAAATCGATTTAAACAACTTCGCTGTGATCTAACAATATTCGCAAAGAAAATCTTATGATAAGGTATATATCGTACCGACCTGGGCATGATTTGCACTGGCTTAGTTTTAAACGAAGGTTCATCGAATGGCGCCGAATCCCTCGGTTCGGCCAATAGTGTTCTACGTGTAGTACATTTCTATGGAAGATTTTACCGAACTATTTTTAACGTATAAGCGACACAGTCTTTAATGTAATGTAATTAATTAATTAAGGTATTAGTCTTCATTTCGTATTCCGAGTGCCCAGGTCCGGTATCTTGTTTCGCCTTCGAATGATTTCGGTGCAAGATGTCTGAAAATGCGTGGTACTAGTTTGTTATCGCGTCTGAAAATAATTTGTGGGAACGATAGCTGCCCACTGATACGTGTCATGTATATTCAGGCATCCTGTCATGTGCACAGGTGCTATGTTCAGTGAACATCTACCTTCATTTCTTCGGCTTACGGACTAGTTTCTTTCTATTGCACCTATCCAGTCGAGTAGGTACTTAAGAATACGACCCTTTGTACATCGTTTATTCATGTGTAATACGTCTACATTTACAAAACCAGCCATTTTTTCGATACTTTTGTAATGTGTTGTATACCAAATATTTGCGGTTGATAGCAGTTCAACTGGACGCACAGTGTGCTTTTTACAAGTTATGTACAAAAAAAGAAAAAAACGTAGAATGTGGTCATTAGACTGTGGAGGTGTATAGAAATCCTGGTCCCTTGGGGACTGGTTTAATCAAAAAATAGAATAAAACTATGTCTTGAGGATGACATCAAACTTTTTTGAAGTGTTCAAATATGCTGTGTTCACATGTGTACATAAACTGTACCACCATGAATTCCGCAGTCTAGTAATTACACATTGAGATGCGAGGCAGACCTAACATTGAACGTATTTGTTTATTTTTTTTGTTAAAGAAGAAGAATAACTATAACAGCTGAGAATCTAGTTCCTAGGTCCACCGCAAAAAATCTAAAAGAGCGCAAGAAGACAATAAACACAATCTGTAATCTACAGAATGTCCGGCACAAATTTTCAAAATGTTAGGTCCATCTTAATCTTCTGGAAATCCTCGCGGGCATTCTACCGCTGACTAATCGATTGTACTTTTATTAGTTGTGATAATCTCGTAATCGATGGACCAGGTTAAACGAAGATAATCGATAAAAATAGTGGCCGGTCGCACTCACCTTGTCGGCGCGAGATGACGTCGCCACCAGCAGAACTTCCGGTTCATCTTTTCTTCATCGACATGGTCCACTTGTCCGTAAATCGTTTAGGAAAATTACAAGTCTATGTGGTAAATAAATCCAACCAAATTCTCGATGATCGCATCAGGGCCACCTGGAAAGGATGGGCTTACGATTATTCGTGCATTAGGAGAACAGATAACTGCTAGCTTAATTTTCGAAAGACCGTCGGGGCAGCTACGCGTCGAGATTTTTGGTTCGACAAGTGCCTTTCGTTTTTCAAACTGTTCGGTAATTATTCGTAATATAAGTGTGCGTGCTGTGCGAGCAGAGTAGCGATTGTAATTAACGTACAATACTTTGTATCGTGCTATACGGCATGCTTGTATTCCTTAAGTATACATGTACGCATGTACCTACGTCTATATGTGTATACCATTGTAAAATTTCATAAAATGTTTCTAATAAAATTGTATTTTTGGAAACCACAAACGAGAAGATTCTGTTTACACAGTCAGAACAATCTATAGAACGATTTCAGTTGCCAACAACTCACCCTCGATAATCTGACTACTGTTTTGGGGCTTGTTACTGTAACTTTTTAAGTTAACCGACTTCCAACAAGCAAAGTGACAACAGTTTTTATACAATTGCTACCGATATCCTCATTATTTATTGATATATATGCAAATATATACGGACCTTTCTAAAACACGTCAACCCGCGGAAACGACTGCCGGATTTCTGGAATTCGCCACCAGGTGTAAGCGCCGACTGCTCGGTGGAAAGATGCACGCGTTCGACGATTCAAATTTAAAATGACGTCTACAAAAGAGAGGCACAGCACAATTAAAATTGATACATTCTCTTAAATGAAAGCAACGCGTGCGATGTTTATTGGCGGTCCAAGAAGTGAAATACAAATTGAAACGGTTTCAAAGTATACGACAATTGGCTTTATTCAGACGCGAATCCGTCAACTGACGAACAGAAATTAAATACGAGATGTAATTACATGAGCTCCATAAATGTACGCATACGTGTATAGCATATAAAGTCGACATTTAGTAATAAAGTATATAGGGTGGGCCAAAATTGATAGCACGACCAATATATGTGTCACGAAATAAATAGAAACAGCACGATTCTTACCTAGCGTTTGAATAAGTAATTGTTCGAAAACTGATACGACTACCTGTTACCGATACGACTGTTTAAACAATTTGCACCGTGAGCAAGCCCTCCGAAAGGGAACCAGAACGTGTTCTACGCAGTTTGAGAACTCAGAATCAGTCCATTCCTGTCCGAGCCACGAAGTTCAGACCACCCTGTATATTCCAGACGAAAATCTTGCAACGAAACAGATCTGTTATACAAACGTTATCTTAATTGCAACAGTTTTGCAGCAGTATCGAGTATTAATTCTGTCAATTTTGTGATCATGCTTTCATCTCCGGAAAAGGGAGTACGCTAACTACGATCGACTAGCGGAGAAACATCGTTTTAACGTTACGATTAACAATGAAAAGTAACAGAAGAGACGAATAGAAAAAAGAAAACAACGAAGAAACACACGATACTCTGAACACACGGGACTAGTGTTTTCAAATCTCGTTTATTGACAGACAATACGAAGCAATCGACTATTCATCGTTCGCATATAAAATATATTCCTCTAAACACTAGTAAGATTAGCGTATTAAATACGTCGGCGATTCAAACAACGGTACATATTGCGTCTCGTGGATTCCCCTTTCCTGTTTGGAAAATCGATAGAAAAAACGATCGCGATCGGGATAGAGCCGGGGAACACCGAGAGGTACACCTATATAGGTAATAATAATAATGATAATAATAATAATATATATTATCTGTGCGTGTCGAAAGTTACGGGAAACGAAAACCGAACAAAAAGAACAACGAGCCGATCGATTCTTTCGCCAAAACAGAATTAATAGCCATGTCTGCGGTGCAAAAATTTCTCGTTAATCCTATGCGTTATACGATTCGCTTGGACGCGCTCGAACGAATATCATTACGAAGCGAAGGATCGGCACAACTTTACCCGTGCAAGAATCAATAGAATATATCGAGACGGTCTTCTTCTTCTTCTTCTTCTTCTCTCCTTTGGAAACTCGAGAAAACGATGCTCCTACGATTTATCGTTCTTTTCTATTAATCTCGTATGCTAATCGTTTGTTGACGCACGCGACTCCACAGAAGCGTATTCCTCTTTTCGTTTTACATCGGAACGATTTCTCACGATCGTGTCCACACGCTAGTCACTACTTCTTCTTTCCCATTTGATGTTTTCGAAATAATTTTCAGACGCGTGGACGCTGACCTGAGAACGTTTACGACGACCCCCTTTTAATGCACAGATCATTTCTTAAATCTTCGGCTGCTCGGAGTTTGTATTCATTGAAAATTCGTGCGATGATTTGTGATCTTCAGTCTTCTGCCGATATGAAAAGTCACAGTGATCAATCTTCCAACCAGCAACGTACCTTGTTTTCTAGTGCTAATTTTTGGAAAGTGATCTGTCGACGAACAAGACCTGTGGTCTAGTTATAGATCGCTGAAATTAATGAGAAATTATTAATCAGACTTCTACAGAACTCGCGTATGTTAAATTTTAATTGATGAAGCGAAGATTGCATTAACGTCCGTAGTTCAAGATGGATTAAAACAAGACTCGTTAAGTGCTGAATAAGTAATCCACTATTCTATGTATATTGAAAGAAGAAAATTTGATTTGCTCGTGAAGAAATCGACAATTAATGTTGTCGAAGTCGTCATTCATTCAGAATCATAGTTTATAAGTAGAGTGCGGATCTTTATCCGAATTCTTATTAAAAACATTTGAAGAGAGTAAACACATCTTGCGACTAGAAGAATTCTTGGGATGAACGATTAATTTGCAATGAACGCATAAAGATCCGCGGTCTATTTATAAGGAAGAAAAAGATACGAAGATGTTTTTGAAAATAAATAGTAGATTATTTATTGGTAAACCTAGCACTTCACTCGGCGTAGCAGACTTACGAAATGATCTGATACAATTAAACATTATGCGAAGTTTCCTTTTTTTTATCTTTTATCGATTAAAAACAAATAGCGGGGATATACCTATAATCGATGTAACGAACGATTCGCACGTAGATTGAACATCCACGTGACCTGATCATCCGGTCGTCGTAATGCAAAATTGGCAAGGACCTCGTTAATACAATGTTATAATAATTCTTCATATACCTACGAATATCGTACACGCATTAGTAAATACAATGTAAAACCTGTTGTCAATAATAATGCTCAAAAACTTAACAAAACAAGCGATTCCACTTTCTCTCCCTCTCTCTCTCTCATTTTTCTCTCCTTTCTTTCTTCCTATTCTTTTCTCGTTTCTTTATAAACGATCGCGACACTACGCAGAGTCTAGCGGTGCCAATGACTCTCAGCACGACCAAAACGCTGCAGGCAGTGACGGTGAGCTACCTAATCCGTATTAATAGTTACATTAGGTTCTATATTTAATAATATGTATATATATACACGATTCGCACACACCAGGTCAAACTCTAAAATGTATTATGCTTCTTTTTTTGTTCTTTCTCAAACAAAAGTCGACGACGAATGGATTGCGAGAAGAATAGTCGCGAACATAAACGTTAACGTTTCTACGGAAATATGGAAGCTGAATGCACGAATACCTCTCATGGACTCCGATGTTCGAACTAAATTTTAATCTCAGTTCACTAGGTCATAAGATATCTTCAAAACTAAAAATTTTGACAGCTAGTAGGATAAATATAACTTTTGTATTGCACAAGGTCTGAATAAGTTTTCTAATCATTCATTTATCCACTAATAGCAATTCTTTCAATTTTTAAACATGCTGATTGAGACGAACAATTCATAGGAAGATCGACGTCCACAGAAAAGCGTCAGAGAAAGAAGTCAGCTATCTAATGCCCATACATGAGAAACGTTGAATCTCGCGTAAGTGTGGCAATGTGATCCAACAGAGGTATTCGAGTCTCCTATCTTTTGGACCGACCTGCACAATCATCATATATATATTCTTGTGTTACGAAGCATGCCAGGGATATTGTAGAATTATTGCAGCAAGTTAACATCAACCAAAGTGTCCCAAGTGAAGAGCAATCGTTGAAAATGATCATTCGCGTCCGTACAATATCGTCTTGCGGTTTCTATTGTTCTATGAAAATAGATGATACACATTCTTTGATGACGTCGATGATACAAGCACAGGGTGATTTAAAGTCAGTGCCATAAAACCTATGTTGTACCTCAGACCGAATAAAACAATCAAATATTTTCTTTCAAGGCAAGCTCCATTTCTACAATACAATTTTTTGATACTGATCACTGACAGGCAATCTACTTCTTTAATACATCGTCTACTAGAATAAGATAACTTGTTGGTTCACGAATATAATTGCAGTCGTTATTAAATTATTTAATAATTAATTTTCTACCACGTTTTAAACACTCAGATTGCTAGAAAATGATAATTTTGATGGAGCTTTCTTAGTGCATTTTCAGATTTCACAACGCAGACTGTAAAATCACGCTGTACAAGCAGTTAATGGTTCCTCTACGATTAATGTAACGACAATCGAATGCGAAGAAGATGGAGAACCCGATTAGCTAGGGAAACATACTAGATAAAATTATCACTGTTCCGTTTTTCTCAACGCGACACCGATGAATAACGGGAGGAGACGCTCTACCCTATTTATGCATTCTACAATCGCTCCGACGACAGCGTTATCTTTTTACAAGACGATGAAAGACGATCCCCGGAACAAATCTCGTCCTGACCACGCCAAAGGCACCAAGTAAAAGAAGTAGCGCTGACACAACACTCGAGACACATGCTCTTTCTCTGTTCTCTCTTGCTTTTTTTCCTCTGTCCGTAAATCATTCGACAGCTTCTTTTGGCACTGTTTGGCCGTCTATTAGAATCGACACGCGTTCGTATGATCGGATCGAGTCAGGTGAGACGTCTGCGTTTAATCAATCTTTCTTCTATTTCTTCGTTTTTTTCTTTTCTTTATTAAATCACGCGTCAATTCAATTGTTACCCGTAAACTCTCGCATTAATTTGTTTCTCTCGAGATAAGGATCACGGTCGAATTTCGTCACGCGATCGGCTGACTATCTTCCTTTCCGTCTTTAATACTTCGATGATTCGACTTTCAAAGAATTCGATTCCTCAACTATCCCGGACCTAGCAGTAAGAAAAGATGAAGGGTGATCACTATTATTATTTATATATCATTTCATCCTTATATATAGTAGAACAGAAACGACAATGGCACAGAACGTTTTTCTTCTTACTAAACCTCGTTTACGTTAGCTTTGATTCAGCGTTTTCCATTAATTATTGGCAACGTCGCGCACACAGTTCCCTTTTTCACTCTATCGACAATAAACGTTAATCTCATTGTGCGTCCGTGGAAATCTGACTAGCACATGGATTTTTCAACGAATATTAAATCATCTGTTCTCCACAAATTCAAATTCTCGCAACGATCATGCTCGCACTGTGCACAGTGGTCCGAAGCCATCGAAACGAGAATTAAATTTAAGCGTTCAAATCCGATAAAAATTAATCAAGCTTTGAAACAACTGGTAAAGTATCATTTCCTCAGAGTCACCCCTACGAGGTAGTTTTTTCTAGAGCAAAAGACCTTTGGTTATCTTTTTTTTAATAAACAATGTACAGATATGATCGGTACGAATTTAACGTTATTTCTACGGATTCGGACCATTGTACATCGGTTGCACGGGTGTTCGTTAATACTGAATTGCGAAAAGGACGTTCTTCTTATAATTTATTCATACCCACTGGTCTTACAGAGCCAATATAGGACATGTAGCCGTTTCGTTCTGGGAAAGAAAGATCTCGTATCAGCGACGTTTCTAAATCGGTCGCACTTTCGCGTTTTTATACAATACTCTGACCCCGAACATATCGAATCGGCGTTCTTGCGTACATTTCTGCGCGCAGATCGTTACCAAAATCCTCTTGGCAGTGATGTCGCACTGTCAAAACAAGGAAACTTTCGTTCTCAAGGGTAATCACATTTCTCTCGAAGCCTTTGTAACAAACTACTAAGAGAGGCGCACAAGAATACACTGAAATATCTAAACATAATATATGTATATATATACATACATTATATATCTTAACGAGTAGCAAACAAGAAGAATTCAAGAAATATATAAAATCACAAACGAGTGGACGAGAGGCACGATACTGTTTTGTCAGCCGCGAGCTTCGGACGACACGGTGAAAGCTTTCCCCTTCCTCGAGAAAAGCTTTCTCTCTCGCCGGAAACAACGCTGCAACTTAATATCAAAGTCGTTAAAAATCTTACATTCTAGAGCGACGGTTGTCCCTGCATCGACGATTGACTGTTCGAATCAATATCATTAAAAAAATAACTTCTACGGAAAAACACGTATACCGATACTGGAGAGCTACCAGAAAGAGTAAACGGGAATAAATGAAAAAGGATAATCGGCGACCCTTGATTACATTGCAACATGTATAAATTCTTTCTCCTCTTATTTTCTTGTTCTTTTTGGCAAACAAAACAATGGGGCCGCAAAATATGCACACTGATTGGTTTCTCATCGTGCAACATCACTGTCAAGAGTTCAGCCCATGTCACACACGCAAAACACCTTGCTTTGACAGATCAGTCTATATAAATGTTCGAAGTGAGAAGTCTTCGACTTTGTCGTTTCCGGGGTCTTCACGGATCGGACTTACTGAGGAAGCTAAACAGCATTCGTTCATGCCTCGCACTCAGACGAGCGAATCTCTTAAGTATCGCGATCCTGAGTGTCGCGGAGTTTGACGTTAGTTAATTCTTGCTATTACTACGCGGACTAGCCGGTTGACTGTTCGCCTGTTGCGCACGTTGGATGTAGATGTTCAAAAGCTTCAGCTTGCTCGTATACAGACAGCTCAGGTGAGGTTTCAATACTTCCTCGCCGACTGCTAGATGTATCGCTACCATGCAGAACACGGCGCTTTTGCGCACTGCACTTTCGCTGTCGTCATAAGCCTGAAGAAATTAGGGTGATCATTAACTAGGCGAGGCCTCTTTCTAGAATTGTTTAGTTTTAGTATAGTATTTTAACTTGCCTTAATAAGACCAGGCATAACTTTGGACAGATGCGGTTCTATCGCATCCCGACCCCAGTGTTCCACTACTTTGTGCAACATTTTAATCGCCCCCATGTTCAGGGGGTACGGTTCTGTGGTGATTATTGTTGAGACTAAATGAATGATTTGCTCTGGCTTTAGAACCATCGCTATCGTCGCGGCACATTTTTCTGCCACCCAAAAAACCTGTATCCACACAGCATGATTAATAATTTATAATGTTACATTGTCTTGGATTATAACAAGACAATCATGTTTTGTGGAATGACCCTGCTTCTAGAAAGTAACATTGTTCCTTGTAAGATACTTACGGAAGATCTGGTATTACTGCTGCTAGTGGAAGAATCTTGTTTCGGATCATCCAATTTATACGCGTTAATTACTTTTAGTACGAGCAGTTCGGGGTACACGGAGAAACTGTCTACGAGTTCGGGACATTTAAGCATGTCGATTAGCGTTTGAAGTACTTCTACTTGCATTTTCTTGCTGTCGTTCGTCAGACTATCTAGCAACGTCTTCAACAGTTTTCTACAGCATCCAAATGGAACAAATTAAAATTCTGGTAATGATAACTAGGAAGATATAAGCGGACGAAGAGATACCCTACTTGAAATGCTGTTTGATGAATGCAGCATCACCTTCCCGAACATATAACTGGAACTCTTGTAGAGCCAGTACTTTTTCGTCCGTCTGCGTCATCTTCGACTGTAGCGTTTTGATCATATTATCTAGAACTTCCGGCCTGTTTGATGGATCTGGTAACGGTCCCGCTACAGAATATAAATTCAACAGACGAGATCTTTTATCGGGAACATTAAAATCTAACAAAACTTCTGTACATACCATGTGACTTGTAACCATTATTTTCTTGCGGCAGAATGAGATCTCCTGCGATTGTATCGCTAGATCCGTTGACGGTAATGTTCGTAACGGACCGTCCTCTTTGCGTGGGCGAAGAAACGGAAGACGAGCGACCCTAACAATCCCAAAAAAATAATATAAAAAAAATCGCCTTTCATAAATAACGCGTAAATCGTCCATTCTCTTACCGAATTACACAACGTAAGCCCTTCCATTTTCTCTTCGACGTCAGCCATATTGCTGATACCGCTGTCTTTGCTGGTGGTCGCTCTTTCTAAACGTTCAAAACCGTAATTTTGAATTTCCGCTGTGGTGCGTCTTAACGACCTATGAGAAGTACTTTAAAATTAAAATGAGAAAGAATGATGGATTATCAGACGTTCTGCTTACGACGATGCCAACGACTTACTTATAAACTTCCTCCAGGTTCTCATCGGCGTTGTCCATGTCGCCTTTGAGCTTCGAACGAGCCGGGGAGCTTTGAGCTCTGGGAGGAGGTGTACCTGGTGACGCTGGATTGCTGGAGCCAGAGGATTTCCTGAGATGATTCTGTACCAGCGGTAATGCTGCTTCCTGCAACGTTCACAGTTGTATTAATAACAGTTCAAGTAGTTACAGATAAATTTATGCATTCATTAGTAATCCTGCCCACCTGATACGGTTTGGGTAACTCAGCCAATATCATGGTGACTTTCGGGGGATTTAGATTGTACAACGATATCACAGCATTCTGTGCATGTCTTCTGACGTCTTGACTTTTAACGTCATTGGACCAATCGAGTAACCTTGCGAGTGCAGTCCCCGCGGAATTATTTAACGCAGATGGCTCTGCTGTTTCTGCTATTTGCGTGATGAACGTGAGGGTGGCTATTTTCACACGAGAGTTCGGTGTTTGTGTTGGATCCGTGAGATACCTCATTACTGCGGGCAGTAATTGCTCGCCTGGGAAACATTCTCTGCAAACAGATTTGAAATAATTGGTCTAACATACACAGGACACATGAAGTGTTAATTACAAGGTCGGAACTTACCTGACAACATCGAGGGTCTTGTGAATTTTCGTTTGGATCGATCCGAGGAGATCGGTGCCTAATTTATTCAAGAGCCTAGCGCATAGGACGTAAAGCCAATCGCCGAGGTCCTCGCTGTGAGTGGCCACCACCTCGTTCAACGTGTCCAGGAATAAACTGAAAACTTTTGTGTGGGAGTCCATGAACATCTTGGTGAAGATGTCCGTCACCTCGCGGAGCTCCGTCGCTGTCAGCGTGTTCCCGTTCGAGAGGAAATGTTGCAAGCCTACTAAACCTTCTTTCCTGTCTCCCCAATGTTTATGCGCACAATTTTCAATAATTTCCTTAATATCCTGCAAAATAATGTTTCCGTCTATGTAAAAGGAAGCACGGAGGATGGATCGCAATTAAGACAGCCACACGAAAAAAAGTCTTATTTGCAAAGTAGCTGGATCTTTACACACGGCCGAGTCACAAATAATTTCCGCCGCAAGCGTTGAGAAATTAATGGATGTGAACACGACAGCAGTAATGACAATGGTTACATACAATGATAATGTTAATTATGAAACGGAAATTATTTTTGGTTCGACTTAATACGACCAATTTATTTTTCTATGGTAGATGTGTATAGTATATTTGTATGGAGTAAATGGATATGAAGTAGTAAATTGAACAAACCTTCGAGATAGACTGATCCCACATATCACGGTACAGTCTTTGCTGGGAGCCACTCCATGAGAACGACTAATGGGTAGATGGACGATGGACAGATATGGAGAACAGAACGGCGCATCGCGTTAGTCCAAACCAAACAAATACGCCGCAACAAAACCAAAAGAAAAAACCATACATGCGTTATCTACATTGTCCTAGGATGCTGGAAGCACTGGTTACATTAAGCTTCTGGCCTAAGTCTACCCTCACAAGGGTGAGAATTAGGAAATAGTGTGTTCGAGGACAAACGGATACCCATAGCGTCGCAGAAATGTGTTATGAAATAATGTTCATATAATGCGATGTTGTATAGAAGAAAAAAAATAGATTACTATATCCGAAGACATATAAACGTCCAAAGCTTAGTCTCCGAATAGAAATAATATTGCAGCCGCACGGTGTGGTCTACTTTTATCACGCAAACATTAGAGAAGCGTTAATGAACCAAATGAACATATACCTATTAAGAAAGCATGGTGTACAATAAGTGTCTGAGGTAAGTCTGTAATGATTTATATATATATAATAATGTACAGAGTGTGTTGTCAATTCTCAGCAGCAGAACTAGCACTGAGTAACGCGCTCAATCATTCATTCACAGAATGTTTACCAAAAAGAAGCTAAACGCAGTATGTGATTACTATCGGGTTTGTTTACTCTTCCACTTTGTTCGTAAGGTAAGAACTTTTCTTTATCGATTTAGCAGTATCCTACTATTCTTCTCACTTACGTCATTCGGTCGTCTATAACTGTCCATGCCCCTTTCGGAGCATATACTGCTGGTTTCGCTGTCGTCGCTGTGATCACCTTTACCCCTGGGCGTTCTAGGGTAATTATCAATGTTGTCGAACGCATCTGCCAACGCCGATTCTGCTTCACGCGACTGTTGAAGCATCTTCTGTGCCATCACCGGTCTGGATTGAGGCCTATCCGTTGGGGACATGTGCAAATTCCTTCCCCTAGGGTGATAATTAAAACGAAACACTCCACCAATTAACTGAAGGTCGAGTTATTCCTGCAAAGGCACGCTGATCTCTCTAAAACCTCTTTAAAAAATTTCTAAAATACTTTCAACTATGTAGTCCAAGGCTACCAAGTTCAATTACCTAACAGAAGGAAAAAGATTGAAGAGACATCAGTATGCCATCACAAGGTTACGTCAAATTATCCTCATTCAGTGAAAAAATGCTTGACTGCGCTGACGTAAAAAGAATGTTAGTCACGTAAATGACTATTTACCGGATTTTGCTAGCAAAACTCCTGTCCATTCCGAACCTCTGCGGGCTGGGTTCGCGGCTGTTGCCGGTGCTTCTGATCCCATGCCCAGATAATCGCCTAGGCCTCGCGATCAAGGATTCACCTTCGCGATTATACGTGGCGTAACTCAGCCTAGATGACGGCGATCCCGACCGACTGCTGGCTGTACCACGATAATACACAAATTGAGACCTTTCCATGTATGTACATTAGGACTCCATTTAACCGAATCAGCAAAATGCCTAATTATTTGTTTAACATTTTACATATAATACAATGTTCTCTCCAAATTTGGATAACACATGAAAAAGAATAATACTCACTGCGGATAAAAACGGATTAAGAACGCTTCATAATGATAAAATGACTAGAGACACTGTCGGAATGGAATACGGTAAATTTAGAATGTCCGAACAAAAATGAAGAAAAATTGACTTTTCAATATAGTTTAATATTATAACATAATTGATTTTAGTATCACTTAGGAGTATTGATAAAGTAGATATAATAAAAAGATAATAATTTCCGCGGTATACATATGTAAATATCCTATCATTTGTGGAGTTCCACTGTATCATGTGTCTTCAAAGGGAGCCGTCCCCTTTCTTTCTACTTACGCTGAGATTGCGACACTCCGGCCATTCTCGTTCTCGTTCTTGCGGTTCTTTCTGGACTAGCCACTGCTGTGGTGTCTGGTGATTTACTGGGACGCGCTGGATGGAGCAATAACGCAAAGGTGAGTTGGTTGAAACGTATCGCAACAGTGTCAGAGATAAAATTGAAATTAGCGGTACTCACGGAGAGAGGCTTTCTGCCTGCTGATGTTCGCGTACATCATCCTGGCTTTCGCTCTTTGTGCGGCTTGCAGATCTATGGCGCTTGTGGATCGAACGCCTGGCGATCCACGATCTGGGAAATACGTTCACGGATATACATAAAGGATGCATTAAACGATGTTCTTACACATATATCGGATGCATGGGTGCAGTATTTCTAAGGTCGCGGTGATCATTGAAGCAACAAACAATAATGTAACAATTACAATGACTATCAGTGGGTCTCTGTAGAACTGGGATACCGGATTGACGATAAGACCGTGGCAAGGACGGTGTACGTCTGAGCGGGCCGTGTGGTTGACCCGTGGTCTGATGCAAATTTTCCGTACTACCTTCGTATGTTTAATGCAAAGAAGAGTCACAAAAGCAGCATGAAAAAAGAGTGAGAAGTATTTTACACTGCGATGCTTTCTCGCTGGTTGACACAGTCCATTTACATCTAGCATAATGCATATAAGAGTCATCCCATAACTTTTAATTGTCTACACTGAGTCAGTAGAAAAAGTGACAAAAATTTATGAGATGACCCAATGCTATATCCATTGAACATATCGTCTCAGATCTAGATAGAAGAATGTGGCTCACCTGTGGCGCTCATCGCTGGTCTGGATGTCCTGGGGCTGACGCTTGCCGATCTCGTGACTACGTTCAAACTGTTAATACTGCCACTATTACTAAGAGACATCAGAGAACGTTTATACGCAGCATCTAGACTATTGAGCAAGGCTTCCGCTTGCTCCGGGAAATGATCTTTGAAAGCCCAAAACGATCTGCAAATATTTGAAGTTTAATTTCTGTTTTACGTACATTCGAAGCGAATATTTTTAAATAAATGAACGTACTTCCTGGCGAAAGCTCTTGCTTCCGAATCCGAATCCGCAATACCCTTCTTGATGGTGTCTTGTAATGTTTGTACATGCTTCTGCAATATTTGGGTAGGCCACGTTTGCAGTATTAGATTCAGGTACTCGCAGGATGCTCTGCGTATGTCTTTACTTTTGTGACTTAAACATGAGGTGATAATTGGCACAAAACGACTGCAGTGTGTGTTCTGTAGAATAAATCGTACAGCGACTGCACCGGCTGTTGCCACGACCTGTATGTGCATATTCGTTGACGCAAGTTACAAACGTTTTGTTACGGTTCCCATACGTCACCGCGTTACCGGGCAATTTATCAGGAATCTTACCTTGGCACTATTTTGTATGAGGTTCATTAAGGTGAGCAAGACTGCCTCTCCAAAACTGGCGAACTTATTTTTCAGGTGTACACTAAGATACGCTAACGTGATACACACTTCCCTCACGACTTGAGACCTGAGATCCGTGCAAGCCACCTCGAATGATCTTTGCATACTTTTCAGACACTCGATGAAGTTCTCATAGTTTATACCTCCTGCGATCACGATCGACCGTAACTTTTTCATCTGATGAAGAAACGAATTTTATAATCAGATACGTATGATAATAACCTGAATAGAATTTTGTATAATTCCGAACGTACACTCTCGGTCCTTTGTTTCCAGTCCTTCTTGTCATCGCCAACATTTTCTCTTATCGTTTTCATTTGTTCTTCCAGATCCTTTGCTGAAAACAAGTTCACTGATGGCACATCTTCGAATGCTGTGAGGAAAGTTTCCTCGTCGACTGCACCAGCCTGACCTATATATATATTATACATAATTTTACATTTCCATATGAATTTATGAACAAACAATGATGTACAACAAGTAGAGTACTTAAATATGTCTGCTTAAATTGGAAATAGAAAAAAATGTACAAGACATTTTGTTTTAAAAGCTTTTGTTTTAAAAGCTTTTGTTTTAAAAGCTCTTGGACATTTTTATCGATGTTCCTTTTTAATGCAGATATTTAATTGTCCTGTTTGTTGTATCACATGTGTAAGGACTACTTATGATGATCGGTATTAATCGGCAATGTTAATAGCAACTGGCATATGATATTTCACAAACAATTTCTGATTTCCTATGTTATAATAATTAATTTTACCCGTAAGTATGACATCTTTGTGTTAATAAAAATTCACCAAATGTATATTATACAATACCTTATTATCCTACAGGTATTGTGGTTCGCGATATTATAAAGAACGTGACATAAAAAGCGGTGCAGGAAAGATCAAAGATGTGTAAGCGTTTTATTAAGCATCTCGCTTGCGTTAGATTATGTTTAATTTGAATCAGCAAATAATCGAGATAAAGCGCAATGATATGCGAGGCTTTTAAATTAAAATATGCGCAGTATTCATTCAACCGAATTTTAAACAATTTTGTGTATTTTCGATGTTTATACCATGATGATTGTAAGATGAGGAAAAAGAAACATGAATATAAGAAGTCTTAAACGGAATATGCAGAACTTATCAGAGGAACCATCATGATATAAAATGGAGCTAATAAGGCCAATGGAGTTTTAGATACCTGCTGTTGATTTTACTGATACGATTCTTTTCACGGTTGTCGCCCTTGGAACCGTTTGCTGCGCATTACCAGGATGAGCTGTCATGCAAGCGAATAATTAGCGTTTTTGTCACCGAAAATGTCAACAGTGGAGTCGATATTTTATTGGTGTACAGTGAAACATCATTAATATTATTACAAACGCGCTGAGCCACATTAAAAAGTCAAAGCAGAAGAGTTTGTAAGTTAGCGCACTTCACATTTGTGCGGTAATTGCAACGGAAATATGTGCTTCTATAAAGTTAATGGTAACATTTGCAACACTCTTATAAGATAAGTAGAACAGTGATGTTTTACAGAAGTAGCTTGTAATACCCAAAATGATCGACATATAACACAACATATAAAAACGTAGGAAATAAACGTTAATAATTAAATATGTTATTCTGGAACCATAAACAGAAGTTATTTCAACTATCGAGGCAAAACTGAACAGTGTCTATTTTACACCCTACGTAAGTATACTCTAATATACTGTGCTTATGACTCGCTACGTATACTTCTGATTAAGATTACAGATCTACAACAAATTGAATTATTTTAAGGTACACTTGTTTTACTCTATTGTTAAGGTACCATGCTCAAAACAAACTGGCGAACAAAATATCATTTTAGTGTCTATCAACCTTTTTAATTTACACAGTATTACACTCATTAATAATTGGCTATTAAATCCAAATGTACCTATTGCAGAAGGGGCAACCTTTGCAGGTCCAAATTGCCCTCTTTTTGGAGCAGCAGTAGACCTCTTCACAGGAGCTGATTTAATCTGCAACATTTACACCGATCTCATTAAAGTTCACAGCATGATCTCAAGCTTATATAAGCAGTATTTTATGAAACACTTACCGCCCTATCTGTCTCATCTGTGCTCTTTCCAACTGAAATCAGAAAAATTAAGAGAAACGCTTAGTTTGACGGAATTACTAGTATACTTAAATGAAACTGATTAATTCGTGGAGCATAATCTATTGTAGTCAATGATGCATCTATTTTTAGAACTGTGTACCTAAGTCTGGATATAGCCATGGTGGCTTGTGAATGTCACAATGGCATCCTCTTGCTCTAGCACCTGGGTGCTTCACAATGTTATCCCACTGAAGAATCCATCTACTACTAGGATCCCATATCTTATGATCAATACTGGGATACTTTTTTAATCCTCTGTGCAAGCAGCGGTGGCCGCTTGACACAATTATACCGGCATCATTCATTTTACAAGACAAATACTACTCCGCACAGTTAATGAACAACAGAAACATCGAACGATCTCTTATGTCTTGTAGAACACAACACAGCACTCAGCAGGATTTCAGGAAACTCCATTACAGTGTGAGAAATCTCCATTGTGGCATAGCCTGTTACCTGATCTTCTGGTTTCCTTCAAAATTAACATCCCGCTAATTAAGATGGCACACATCGATAAAAGGAATTATTTCGTAAGACGAAGCGCAAAAAAATGTCGATTTGGTCAGAATTTAAAAATTGTTCCCCTAGAAATTTGTACACCGCGTATTTTTTAACACCGTGTACGCAACGATCCGAACTATCAGCAAACGCATCAGTGAAAGCGATTTTTAGCGTTTCCTAATTACAAAAAGAATCCATATAATCATTTGTAATCTCTATATTGAAATCGACGGAATTAGATCGATAACCTGGCTTTACTCCAATGTAAATATGTACTAAGTTCCTCGAACGTTACGAACATTTTCTATTTTCCATGAACGCTATCCTTCTTGTATGTTCCCTGACAATCGCCAACAAGGTATAAACTTTATTCGATATACCTACAATGTAACAAATAGTAACAGGAAAACCGGTTTCAAAAGCCACGGTGGATATCAAGTAGCAATCTGTTTTCCTGATTGCATACGATTTTTATGAACCGTTTCGATTATCCGTCGTTACACAGAATCAGAAAAGCAAGAGTGGCGATTAAACTATACCAGTGGAAGAAGGAATTACGGTGAACATGCTTGGCAAAAGACTAATTTTCATAAGCGGATTAATAATCTGGATAAATACGCAGGTTTTAGCAGATCTCGAAATGCAGAAGATTGCGCCTATTATATTTATAGCATAACGGCGTTTAGAATGACAACCTTGACAACATATTCCAAGGTCATTGTAACCGGAGGTAATTCCGTTGAACGGTATATTTATCCGAATCTGTAAATTCTCGCAAATCGAAAACCTGACAACGAGATAGATCGTTAGAAATCTTTGAAATCTAGCGTGGATCAGACGTAGCGAAATATCGCAAATGCGGGTTACCGATCAAACTTGGTATTGAGCACGAGTTCAACGCGCTAAGGTGAGAAGCTAGATTTGCATCCGTGATATCATTCGTAATAACTGCGGCAATGAGACACGAGAGAGTTATTTTCTCACGTTACAGATAACGGCCGGCGGGCACGGTCGGTCGAGATTCAAATGAAATGAAATGAAATTTCTGTCGCAAGAGGGACGAAAAAAATGCAAACAACACGTTCTTCTTGGTTCAGCCGATAAAGACCAAAATAGCTTCCACAACCGTCCGCAAGGACGAAGAGCAATCATCGTTTTCGTGATAAGACCGCGATAAAGATTACATATTCCGTCAAATATATTCACAATTAACCTTCCCCGGACGACTGCGGCGATTATCTTTCCACTTTACGTAAGAATTTTCCGCATGTAACACCGGCGCAAACGGCAGGCGCGTATCAAGAAAAAAAAATGAATTGTATTTCCAAGGATTATTGCGTCACGGATGCCGTGTGTGTGACGTTTACGCGTAATTCATTACCGCGCACACACGTGTTCAAACACGAGAGCCTTCGTCTCTCCGCGATGGAACTTCGTCTATTCGTTTACCTCCGCACAATTTGCCTTTCACGCAGCGCGCGATAAACGACCGGGCTTCTTTCCTAGAAAATGTGTATCTGCCTGTCGGGATCTTAATAAAAGAAAAAAACCGAATGATTTCGAAGTGAAATTCGTGCGGCGCGGCGGCCGAGAAAGTGCATTAATATTTCAGCGAAGAACCGATTATTTGTTCCGTTATGCACGGCGAACTTTTCCTCGACGTTGCACCCGCGAACTTCACCAACAAAGTCACAATACGAGACAGTTCTTCGTGGTCGGGACGCGCGCGTGATTTCTTGCCGGCAAGAATCGCTATCGCCGGGGGAACGAATCGACGGAACGCGTTTACGTGGACAGTGGAACGAATCTATTCGTGTTCCCTGTCTCGAAACGCGTCTGTCACGATGACTGTAGTACTGTAGCCTCTCCGAGCACGATTGTCCTCCTGCCGTCGTTTTGTTTAAACCGGGATGCCAGCCCGTTCTGTTCGAAATCGGCAAAAGAATCCTACTCCAACGAAGCGCGCACTATGGCCCGTTTCTTTTTTTTTTTTTTTTACATATGGAAACTAGACAGACACGTCAAGGCGAGTCGTTATCGCGATCCCGAGTTCACTGGTTGCGAAAATAACGATAAACCGCGTGGCAAGCGTCGTCGGCTGACGATCGAAGACTCGCGTAACCGTCGAAGGTGGACGACGGTTTCCGCAGTGGATTTAAACGTCGAACTGAGAACGATGTGTCGTCCCGTCCCGATGCAGTTGCGACGTCTGATCAGGTAAACAAACAACGTGTCGGGAGAAACTGAAACGATCGTCCTTGCCCATTGTCCGTGAACAGGTAACCGACGCGTGTGCTATCCCGATCCGCGTACGTATGCGCGCGCGCGTGCTCGCGCGAGCGTTCGTTCGTTTAGATCGAGTCACTCTCCGGCGAGAGACCCCGTGACACAGAAAAAAAAACGATCCCGATCAAGATCACCGTCACGTCGGTCGATCCTCGGTTTTTTACGATCCCGGAGACGTACGCGCGAAATCACTACGCAGAGGCGTCTAGCATCGCGAAAAACACGCGTCTCTCTCACGCTGCTAAATGGCGACTCTCGTTTACTCTACGAGGCGAGGAACTCTCCCGGTAAGCGGTGCTTACTCGCGCGACCGTAGGAAGGGGACCTTCCCCTATCGGTGGCCCTGATTGGGGGGCCAAATCGAGGGGCCCGGCACATCGTATACATCTCGGCTAACCGAGCGACGATTAGGGGATCTGGATTATACGTTTTTCTTTATCGGTCGCGTTCGAGTTTTCCTGGAGAACGATTCTCGCCGCCGGAACATGGATGCGGTACAGAAGACCGGTAATCGTCGCTTGCCCCGTCTGACAGCCGTTCGAATCATTAACTTTTTTCCGCGACGTCCATTAACTCTTAACTAACGAGGAGCATTGTCAAATTTGTGCCGGCTATTCGGGTCAATTTAAATCGCTTCACCCGTGCTCCATATTGCGGTACACGGTTTTGAGAATTCTTACAAGTGGGCAAATTAGCCCATCTTTTTTAGCTGTAAAATAAAGCGCCTTCTGGAGGGATGCATACTACCAGCGGCAGGAAATATTTGAAATTCTAATTCCATTTCCACGATTAGCATTAAGGAAAACAGTTTTTATAGAGAATTGTAAAACAGCCGTTGTGCATAATATATGACCGGCTTCTGTGCCGAGCAGAGCGCTTGTAGTACACGGTGCGTAAAGTTGTTATCGTGTTACCAAACACGATATCGAGGAATTAAAGAGGAAATTTTATAGGCGGCAGCCGCATTCGAATATCAGGTTTAGGGGAAAGAAATCCGTCGGCCGAGCGAATAGCTCAATCGGCTGCGAAACAAAAGCTCCTGAGAGGTTCCCCGAGACGATCGAGTCCGGCAACTCGATCAGTCGATCGTCTTTCCCTCCTCGCAATTTCACTTTCTGCGAACTAGGGGTTTTTACAGCTGCGAAACCGAATCGTTTCTTCGACCGTAAATTTAATGGAAATCGAAACCAGTTGGGACAACAAAGATTCAGTTGGATCACCATATTTTTCATAAAAACGGAATACCTGTATCAACAAAATTCGAAGTCTGCACGATTAATTAGGTCATCTCATCCGAGCAACGCGAATTTTCTTTCGTACTTCTGAAAGAATAACAAAATTAATAATCAATATCGTTAATGTCGCTGGATAAAAACGGGAAGGATACTTTCAATTAATATTGTGTGAGTAAATAGATGAAAATGACAGGTGGGTAACCGAGAAACGCGAACGTGCAGTCGCTTTTGACGTATCTCGGTTAACGAGAACGAAATCCGCGTTATCAGACCATTAATCAGAGGACAAATGACATAATTAAAAGGTTGCCCGCGACAAAACACGAAAGCTCGCATCGAAGCGCGGCCGGTTGTTGCGAAACCGGCGGACAAATTGTCGGTCTACGTAAAACAAGTGGCTGATTAATGCGGTGGGTAACACATGGCATAGCCACGGGACCAAGTTCAATAAGCCCTCATGAATATCAATCGATTTCATACCTGGCGCTGGTCTCGCGAAACCGGATGATTTATTTCGTGTTATTGAGAAGCGTTCGGTGCCAGTCGTGCTCCGGCTTGAAAGCTGCGTGGCCGAGTCCGCACAAGGTTCAGAACCTTATTCGTAAATAATACGATTTTAGCAACCAGTTTCTTTTTAAGTTCCGATCGGCCGTGCTCGGGAAGAAAAACAGGTGACACTGTTTCTCTCTTTTTCAGAAACTCGTGCGTGCACCGACGATTCGGAACCGGTGATGCAGCTTGATCAAGGTTGCCGATCTAACACCTTTCGCGAAACTCTCTGACGTTGAAAAAATTCGCTTAACGCTTTATCTACCGGCAGTTTTACAGTAGTTCTGTTTTTCAAATCGGTGTTCAACGGTCGGCAATTTCTCGGGGAAATTGTTCAAAAACTACGATCATCTGATCCGCAACAATTCGTCGAAGTATTCAGGCTAATATAATGTAACAGTGTTCTTTCGAAATCATTATTTAAAACGAAATTAACGCGCTTTTCTTAATGACAGTCCATGAAAAAGGCAATTGGTAGCAGCCGAGCATAATCACGAACGAGGACATTTTTCTTGTGGCGAGTTTCGTTCCAGAAGATGGAACGCGAAAACGGGCGGAGAAAGGAACGGTGGAAGATTAATGTCGACTGGAATCAAGAATCAGGCCGTGGGACACGGAACCCCTTAAAAATGTCCCCGTGTCTCTCGGATCGTGCGACTAATGATAGTTTTCATCTAAATCTCTCGGTGGCGAGGCGGGGACCACCCGCCGTCATCGTGCGCCAAAAGCAAACCGAGCAAAACGAAAACCGTTCGATCGCCGGTGATTAACATCGACGGTGATGCACGCCCCGGTGGGTAATTAAAGATCATGCCATGGGAAAGAATGTCGTCGGATCCCGGGTATGATTACAATGTTTAAACTGTAATAAACGTGCACACCCGGCGATGGAGCGAGCCGGTCCTCCATGGCGACGATGAAGAAATAAACATGTCCCGGGCAACGTTCGTAGCATAATTACACGGTCGAAATGGGACATCAAACAGGCAATTAACGTCTCTTTATTTGACGGGGGGGACAACGTGATAAATCGAACGGACCGACAGATATTCGTCCACGTACCACGAGTATTTGGACAGTTGCCGCTGGATCGACCATCTTTACGCGTTCGCGCGTAAAGATGGCCGAAGAGGCTACGACAACGATCTTTACGATTTTTGGATCGTTTCTTTCTATAGATGAACAGCGTTTAATTTCGTCGAAGTCGCAGTTGTACCGAGTACGCGATAAAAATATATAATATTTTAAAAACTAATAGAAGATTGCGCTCAGTCTAATTATTATTGTCCACCGATCGGTCCTCTTCGAACCGTGAAAAATGTCTGTAAGTGCGATAGCGAATTTTTCGGGCATACGAGATAGTTAATTACTAGAGACACTGATGAATGGTAGGATGATAGTTATGGCGATTCGTGCTCCAGATACCGATGTGGGTCGTCCGACGATTTTTCACCGGGATTCCGAAAAAACCGGAAACTCGGTCGATCGGATCGCCATGCGTTTTCCCCCTGCGGAACACGGATTTATGATCGCGTGCGTGCCGGGAATATCGGTAATTACCGGTGCAATTAACATACGACTGGGACCGAGTGGGTCGGACAGACACGTATTTTCGATCAAAGAATTTCAACGCCTCGAGCAGTGTCTCCAACAGCCCGAGAAACGATTCCAGCCTCGTAGCATTCTTAGTTCACGTTATTATCATCTGGTCTACGCGTTTCCTGTCTTCGTTCCGTTTCATTTACAACGATGCACATTTGCATCGCTGCTAAAAACACTGTGGCAAAAGAGGATCGCGTTTTCCGCCTTTTTTGTAGCGATAAATAATTCATTTGCATCACAAGGAAGAATAAAACACAATGATCTTATCGTCGATTGCTTCAGTATCATTTGAAGTTATCGATGCGAGAAGCTACTTTGCAGTCATCGCGCGAATAAATAAGTTAAGTTGGGTCTAGAGAAATTGTTAATGATGCAAATGGGTTAATGCAATGGCATAAAGGGCAATTTAAATAGTAGGAAAGTATGTGAATCAATTGTAGAAAAGAACGAGAGAAAATTGAATAAAATGAATATAAAATTGATGAATTAACATTAGAAAATGTGTTAGATCAAATCACAAGAGGTGCATAATTGTTGAAGAATCACTGAAGAAACTATCCTACAGTGACTCTAGAAAATCTTTATACCTTACTTCATACAATTATTCTACAAACGTCAAGAATGAAGTCAAATGAATTAAAATTGCGATAAAATTGTTCAATTTGCACTGGAAAGTATGTTAAATCGACGCAACCAGATATACAAGGGTAAACGTTGATAAGAGAGAGTTTATATAGACTTTCCACAATTTGTATCATATTGTATACATGGCCAAAGAATTTTATTCAATTATTTTCTGTTGGAGAGTCTTTATAATTTCGACAACTTTGAAATACAAATTTTGAGATCGGTCTTATCGACCGGCTCGGTAGGTTTATCGTTGAAGAATCATCGCTGATTGTGAAACAGAAAAATTTCGATTTCGATTTCGCAGGTGTCGCGGAAACAGTGGGAACCGGGCTTTAGAAACTGGGTACGCTCGCCGAATAAATTACGGATAGAAAACGTGCCGCGGCCGATTCCCTCAGAAAATCGTACGCAGCGTCTCCGTCATTCGTCGGTGAAAGTCCACCCGTTATTTATTGTTCTCGAGGATCGAGTCCGCTTCCGATTTCCCATCGACGATGAACCGAACGCGTTCGAGAACAGCCTCGCCGTCTCGTTTCAGCGTCCCATCGGAATTCCCCGATGGTTTTTCTCGGCGGCGACGATGAAAGGGAGCCGAACGCTCGGTGGCAGCGGGAAAAAGAGACGGAGGAACGAAAAAACGGGGGAAACGGGAATGCCGATTCCACGGAACGGTCATTAAATGTTGCTCAAAGAGGAATCGCCCACGCGCGCCGCGCTTCGAAGGCGATAATGGTGCCCTCCTCTCCGCTTGCGTAACAATCCGCGTGCACCGCGACGGTTAGGCGAGCATGCATTATCGCGTGGCTTTTATCGGCCGCGCGAGCTGTTAATCGCGGGTCAAGCTAACAATTACTGGTTCATTAGAGTGATTTGTCCACCTTTTTCTCGGCCGAGGGGACGCGCGATTTATTCGATTCGCGAGACTGAGTTTAAGATTGATTTTCTAATGCTATTACTACGGTCGAGGTGTTCGCGGTGATTTCTTTGAGACTTTTGAGGTGTTGAGAAGTAAGTAAGAAGTGAGTAACCCTTGTAAGAGGGTGATGATACATCTTCAGCAGGAATGTTAAGACCTTAGTCTTTTTAAGGGATGAAGCGATTAACAGACGGTTTGGAGCCATTACTGCTGGATTTGAGAGAACAGTACTTCACGGATTTCGACGCAATGAATTGTGCAGG